CGGGGAAGGGGACGGACGGACCGACCGACGGGCCAACGGCGCGGGCAGGTGTGCGCTGGCGGACGGGGGGCGGGAGCGGGCCGCCGTCGCCCGCCAGAGAGGAGCGGCCATCCCGTCGCCGGGGCTGAGGCGGGGGCCGCGCCTGCCGCCTGCGCCGTGCGACCAACCGCCTCCCACCCCCAACCCTGCGGGGCCCTGCCGGTGCCCGCTCCCCGCGCAGCCGTGCGGGAGCCGGGGGTGGGGGGGTGTTGTTGGCGCGGCCGGCCAAGGACCGGTCGGTGCCCCGCTTCCCTCCGCCGGGGCCCCGGCAGGCGCTGGGCGTGCTGGTCGGTGGGTCGCGTCCCGCAGCGGCGTCTCCCGGAGCTGTCGGCATCGGTCGGAAAAGGGGAGGCGGGCTGCCGCTCGCCCCTCGCCGCCTGCTGATCTGCTGGCTTCCAGTGCTGGGCTTTAAATACTGCAAGGCTAAGTACGTTAAATAATACCGGGCTAAAGACGTGATTTGGGTCTGCTCCGGGGGCTGTTCAGAGCAGTATAATGTCTCCTTCGGCAGGAAATTCAAACTGGGAGCCTCCAGCCGTTCCGCCGGGGTCTTGGGAGTCTGTTACTGGATTGTGGTGACGAACCGGGGGTCCTGTAATCTCTTAATGCGTTGCAGTGATGAAATGTGCCCATCGGCGAGTGGCTGGACAGTGGAGCGGACCCTCTCGCTTCAGAGGTGGCCGCGGTCACCCGGCGTTTGACTGCGGCTGTCCCATGGCACCGACGGGCTGTTGCGACTTCAGCATCGGGAGTAATCTGTGTTGAAACCATGACGCTGTACTGTGGCGGGTTTAGTTGGAGTGGATGGTGAGTTATATGTTAGTAGGAAGTAAGCTGGACTGTTTTTAAACGGCAGCTTCTAAGTATTACTGGAGTACTTCTGAAAAGTGATTTTTAAGACAAAGCAAGAGCTTACGGTGGCTCATTAGAAAACAATCTTCTGGAAAACATGGGCTCGGGGGAGGAGGAGGCAGCAGTCTGGTCTCTGATGTGCTCTCCCCCTGCCTGCATGTCTGTGAAGGATGCCAGGTGGACACCAGAGCTCGTTTAGATCTCCTTCCTTTGATCCTGATTCAGAAAAGATAAATGATGTATTTCGGCATGCAAGAGAGAGATTATGTGCCAGCCCCCTGACACAGCAAAGGTGTGCGATGTCAGATCGGTAGGAAAGGAGCCCAAATTCAGGTGGTCCTTCTGATACAGCGGAATCTCAGAGAAGGGGCTGGCAGGGTGCAGTGAGTGACTGCCTCTGATGCCTGGTGGTGTAGATAGCAAGGCTTTAGTGAGTACTGTGGTTTTCTTTGCTTAGTGAAAGCAACAGGTAAGTCCTTTGTATAGTGTCATAGGTGTTTCAGTGATAAGACTCATTATAAGGGGAGCCACATGTTAATTCATACATCTTTAGAAATGCAGCCCCACATGCAACAAAGATCCGGTCCTTCAAACACTACGACTCTGTCAGATAGCTCTTAGTGCTGTCTCACTGATGCAATAGTATTTGTCATACCAGTGGGAGCTGCTTGTGGTAGTAAGTTGTGTCTGACTGAATGCTCATTGAGAGTTAGAAGGAGCGACCCAAAGTTCCATGTGGTTATAGGTTTATAAAAGGACAAATGTAAGGTCTGCCTAAAAGCTAAAATATTTGTTGCAACATTTTACATCTATTGGGTATTTTTTGTGTATGTTTCTGCTTCCTTTTTAGTTTTCATTTTAGGTGGTGTAGTTACAGGCAGAGTGTGTATTTCAGTTTGAAATTGCTTGTTTGGTAGTAGACAAAAATGTAAAAATGTAGTTTAATCCAACTATTGGGAGCAGGTTGCAAGAAGATGAATGCTTAATTCCTCAGCAGATGCAGGTCTGCTGTGCCCAAGTAGTTATGTGTCTCTCCTGGGCAGTTTCCTTTGTGTCAGGAAAGAGGAGCAACTGATAGTCTTCGGTAGTATGTGTGTAGCCTGGGCACTGGTAACTCAGCTTTGGTGAATCTCTTCTATCTAAGGTGAATTTACTTTTCTTGATGGGTGGGTTGCTGTGCATATCCAGTAGAACAGGAGCTAACCATGTTGCGTAGTCAATGCAGTTTAAACCAAAGTGTTGCGTTATTTCAGGGAAGTGTGCTTGTGGAGCCATGAAGCTTGCTCCTGCAGACATTTCCTATACATCTATAATGGGTTATCTCTCCTGTAGAGGAGACTACAGGGTGGGTGATGGGCACCCACAGTGGTGTCAGTCTGAAAATGGCTTGGCTGTAGCTCAGCCAGTCTCTGCAGATGTTAATTGACTGAGCTTATGGTTTTCCCTGGTCCCTCTGCGGTGTAGATGTGATCTTTTTCTTAGGGCGATATTCTGGAATAGTTTTTCTGCCTTCCTGAGAGAAGACAGCAGGTAGTGTAAAACATGACAAGACAGAAAAGCTTGTTGTCAGTTTTTATTTTCCCTCTCCTGTGCTTAGCTGGTTGAAGCAAACCAGATGTGAATGGTGGTACCAGGAACATCATATTTGACTTGTGCATGTAACTAATCTGAAACTTAAGGTTGC